GTGTCAGGAAAAGGGCGTGGGGAAAACTCTAAACATGAAAGGACCTTAAAGAGGTCGCCTAATCCATCATACTGCCCTGGATTTTTGATCCACCAAGAGGGAAAAATTCATTCTAACCTCTGACATGAAATCCTACTCTCAGGAGTCTCTTTCCTTTTCTATCTCATCTAACACAACTGCAGATATACAAATTATCCATATAATGTTTAATCCTTTAAAAAGCCTGTACAGGATTAGTGTATTATAGATGACTGCAAAAGATCTGGAGTGCCATGTAATAATTTTTTGCTAGTAGATGACTGCCGGGATTCTGAGGCATTTTGTATTGCTTGGGTTTGGTTGGGAATATCAGCAGGAAGGAGGATATGGCTCCAGAAAGCCATCCATCAAGTGATGCTTAAGAGCTGTTAAGAAACCACGTCAGAATTGTTAACTATAATGACTCTACATCCTTTTCCAGACAGCCTATGAAATTTGTTGTGACAAGAAATGATTAAGGACTCCCACCCATGCCCTTCCCTTCCCCCCCCTCCCCGGCAAAAAATATCACCCAATAAACAAAACCACAGCATTTGATTTGAATAGAGAGGTGTTTCTTTCCTTTTTTTTTTTTAAAAAAAAAAAAAAGAGCTTGGGGGGCAGTCTGAACACTGAATGACTGTGCAGGAGCTGGTTCCAGAACGTAAAGCAGTATGTTTACATCAACATGGTGCTGGGCTGCCTAATGCGTGCTGCTGAGAGGCAGATGGTCTTAGCTCAGAGCTAGCTTTGTTCAAAGCAGCCATACACCATTCTGAATTTGAGTTAGCATCGTCCACAGTGACACTCAGTGCTTAGGACAGTGCCAGCTCAGGTGAACATTTCTTCAGTTGTCTATTGCTTCTCTTTGTGAAGTCTGCTGCTGTGGGATCAAAGTAATGGATATAGACGATTAAAAAAGCTACTCCCACTTGGTCTACCTGCTCTCTTCCTATGCATTTACAAATCTCTTCTTGTACTTTCTTTCCTTTTTTGGAGGTCTTTAAAGATTTACACCCACAGCCAAATATCAAATACCAAATGTTTTTCTAGCACTGACCATGCACAGTCTTCTACATTAAGTTTAACCTTCAGGGTAAGAGTGATTGATATCCTGTGTATTGTAGCCCAGGGTGTGATCTAAAAATGAAGTTGTATTCCCTCTTGAGGAATCCTAAGAGCCAGGGGTATGCACTGGACAAGGAAGATTAAGCTATCTATCTGTGTAAGCATGACTTTTCTGAATGACAATGGACAGTTGTACTCTATGGTACAACTATGGTAACCAACTATTTACTTCTGTGGTTTTGAAGGGTTGTACCTGTCCAATTCACTGAACATCCTTTTGTTGTTAAAAGAAATCTTAACCAAGAATTTTCATTTTACCATGTGTGTCATTCAGAACTTCATATCGTTCCATCATCTTCACCTTCCTTCATCACAATTTTGCTATTTGCTCTTTTTGAGACAGTTCTGATCTCAGTGCCTATGGATAATAACATTTCTGTGGATGGATACAATGTTAATTTAATTAAATGCTGTTTGAGTTCTTTTCTTAAGAGAAACAAGACTAAACTCTTCAGAGACTTAGGTTTAAAAATAAAATTTGTTCTAAACATGCATGAATCAAATGCCTACTTTATAAAAATAAGTTACTGCCTTTGGGAAAGAAATAAATGCAAATGCTAGTTACCATGCTTGAAATAGGTGACAAGAAGTGCCAGCATCTTGGCTCATGTTGCAGCTTTATTGTCACAAATTGTTAGTTATGTCTGAAAATTATGGATCTCTCTCATTGTGCAAGTTGTGTCTGCCAGTTGGTGCCTGTACACTAGAGTGAGCTTACCCAATTAACAGAATCTTCCATGCAGGACCCAGAATAAGTGTGCATGCTTCCTAAACGTTACCACAGCTGAGGTTCCTCCTTGTCCTCTGGTGTCTGGAACAGCGGCCTTACCAGGTGAGCTAAACATAGGAGAAGCTGTACAAAGCATGCCTCAATGGAAGTCAGCTTTGGCATACCTAATCTAGCTGTATTTGCCACTAGTTTTCTCTGACAGATGTAGTCTGCCTCAATCACAAGCAAACTGTGCAGCAGACAGAACAGTATTTTTTAACCCTGGAGTGCTCATCAGATTAAACAAGCCATGGAAACAATGACGTTTATGTGCTACTTGTAATTTTCATCATTGGCCATCTCAGGCTATTTGCATCTCTCTTCAGGCAACTGAATGTAACGTTCCTGGGAAGAGCTGCGTACAATTCAAGTCACATCTAAAGCTCATGGTAAGATGACAGGAGTGCCATCAGGTAACTGCTTTACAGAAATAAATATTTGAGGGACTCAAACTGATTTCATGTAAGAATTCAAAAAGAAGAGACAGGAGTAGAGAAAAAGCATTCCTGAGAAAAGACAAATGCAACTGCTATTCCTTGTCTGCCACCAAATTCAATTGTGCATTCTCTACTTTGGGCTTCATTAAACAGCAGTAACCTCACATTCACTGAGTAACCCACTGATAATGCAGGGCCATGGACCCTCCTGTATCTTTTTGCCTTGTTGCTGTATATAGATTTCCACACTTTTTGAGTGCCATAAGTGACATAGCACATTTTAATTAAGTTGCAATTCAGAGATTATACCAAACTTCAGCTAAAAGCTATTATGGTAGACTCCATTAGAGAATAGTATGTAGGAAGGAATTGCAACAAAATCATGAAGTATCTCTCACCTTTGTAAGAGGATGGACAGAATGTAATCATTTTAAAAATATTCCTTAACTGTAGTTTGCAATTCAATTTTTTCCCTTCCTTTAAGTAGCAGTTATTTATATTTTTGTAGGCAAGTCTTGGTTTCTGTAGTTGACAGTAGAAATGATAACTTTCTTCATCGAGAGAAACAAATTGCTGTAGCCCTCCTAATTGGGGTTTTGATGATTTACAGATCATAGCAGGCACTGCTTTATTAATTAATCCCAAGTTAACACAAACAGCTTTGTTCACAGAACCATTCAAATAGTAAGAAAGACAAATGATAAACTTAATAGCTGTCACTTATTTCAAAGGCTTGAAAACCATCCAAATATGCTTAGATTACTTTGAAAATATGTAATTTTACTTGATCCTAACCTCTGTAAGACGGTCATGTTCCAAATATTTGCAGACCTTTTCATGTGTGATCTTTAAAACTAAATTTTATTTTATCAGTGTATACAGGAGAAAGTCCTACCTTATAATGTGAGGTCTGCTCCAAAAGCACTGCCACCTGTTTTATTATGTTGACCAGAATAGCAGATGCAGATGTTGGTGATCGGGCAGTAGAGGATGAACCTTCCCTCCAATATTCCCTTACATTCTGTGGCTGTGCTACAGGTGGCAGCAGGGGGGCAGCCTGACAAAATGGCATCTGACAGGGAAAGCGTGTATGAAGCAAAGGTGTGGAACTGAATTCTTCCATGCAGAAAAAGTGGCACCCACTGACAACCACTGGTGATTGCTGAACATTTATGGAGACCAAACAGTGGATGTGAACACAGTGGGGCAATGAACGGTGCATTTCAGCAGTAGCAACAGTGGTCACCTCCAGTAGTGCAGATTTTTATGAGCTCAGCATGCAGGCTCTTGTTCACTGCTGTCACAAATGCAAAGCTAAAAGGAGGAGTGACTGTTTTGAAAAGCAGCAATTTTTATCTGAGGATTTCTTCTATCAAACAGTGTTTCTGTGCTCTTTGTATCTGTTGTAGTTTCCATGGAAATGAATAGGAGGTTTTACTTTTGGAGCAACATGTACATTAGTGCAGAGTAGTATAGAAGGTTGATATAGCTGACCTAAAAGAATGCCTTCTGCATGCCACTTCAATTTTGCTTACTCTGATATTTAGATTCTCCAAAAAAAAAAAAACCAAACAAATTGTCCTTTACAAGGAGACACAATAGATATGTTTTTGAATGAAGATAAATATGACAATGAAATTATTATGTAATTTATTAAGGTATCCTGGATAGAGGGAACAGTTTCCCTACTTGACTCATTACCCTTTTGTTCTGACATAATTTTTCTCAAAATTAAATGCTTTTGCAGGAAAGATACTAAATCAAGCCATTCACTATTTATTTACATCTAGATATGGACGCTCTGGATGCAAGCTTATTTAAAGAGATCTTATTAGTTCTATACTTTTCATTAGTGAACAGTTACACATGTTCTGTTTTGAAGAGTCACTGTTAACTAGATAAAATGAGATGTGGAAAAGTTAAGTATGGGATCTAAATGAGCACTTCCATTTGTGGCATCTGTTATGTTTCCCACTCCAGCCACCCTGTATGTCCCTCCTGCTGGGAGAACCTGAGCTGACACAGTTGCTGCTGGCAGTGTCACTGTCTGCTTTTCATCCAGAAAAATGAGTTCTGTGTCTTAAACACCCTAAAGGAGGCTGAATTGGATGTTGTGTGTCATTCTGCATTTTACTCAACCAGCAAAGGTTTCTCCTTCTCTATTCCCTTCATACTAGCAAGGATGTTACTCAATAGCAATATTTCAGAAAGGTTCTCAAAGGAAACAGTGCAAATGAGATCAATGCAAAATTGCAAAACTCTAGGATCCAGCATTCTAGAAGCATTGATTTTACTAGGAAAATGATAACCTGAGTTACATGTCATTTTCTGTATCTATCTTGCTGTAAAGCTTCCATATTTTCAAGGACTTAATATAGAAAGTGCTTCTGGATGCACTGAACATAAGAAAATGAAGCTTTAGTAAAATAGATTGTAAATCCCCAAATGTTCAGTGAGTAAGATTTACTCCTGTGGAGAACAGTAACCAAGCTCCCTCTATATTATATCCTCCATACTGTATAATACATTATAATATATATATCTCTTATATCTATATTGTATATTATATCCCTTATACTCTTGTGGTATAAATAGCACCTGCTAGTAAGCAAGGACTAAGTTTAAATGTTAGTATAATTAAGTATAGACCTCAGAAAAGCTATGATTACCTGCAGTTTTTAGAGACATATAAACCTTTACTGTTGTCAGACACTATTGCCGGAGTATCAAAAAATCATGTTGTGCTCCTTCAGCATGAATTGGAGAAGCTGTGAATTTTTGTGTCTTTGCTTTCTATAAGAACTCAGTGCTGTCTGTCCATCATTTGTTCAACAGTATGTGCTCTAGGTGAATACATTTCTCACCTTCTTGGAGCCTGTGAAAGGTTAGGAGTGATCAGTGTATTAACCACTTAGCTATAAAGTCCTTCTCCTCAAGAAACTGTGTGCACATACACCAGCCTGCCCCCTCCTCAGGGAAAAAGTCTGTTAGTTTGATGTCTTCCCTTCACTGCATTCATTCAAAAACACACCCATGAGCTGTTACTAACAGCTACCAGATTCAGTAGGTGCACAGTAACCTCTTAGGCCAGTGCAGCTGAGTTGAATGAACTACAGTTGAATATCTGAGCTGCATGTCTGGTTTTGGAAGCATCTCTGGAAACCTGTTCTCCCTGCAACAACAAAAACCACCCAAACAACCCAAAAGAGATTAAAGGAAGTTCCAGTTTCTCAAACCTATTAAATGTTGTTCTCAATTCCTTCAAATTAATTTGAGGCAGTTGGCACATTTAAAGGGAATAAAATGAGATTGGAGGTTTGAGCGCTGATACACTTGACATATTTTGCTGTGATAGGGAGGTTTGGCTTAACAGAAGTTTAATTGCCCCTCATACAACACTGAGAATAGACTTTCTAGGTCAAGGTCAGGATTCATAGGTGGTGAATAAAAAAACCCTTCTACGAATTAGTTCTTGCCCTAAAGACAATCAAATATCTTCCCAGAGCCCACATGGGAATGCTACTTGCAAAGACCAGATTCTATTTTGTCTGTTAGTACTAAAGAGAAAAAAAAAAAAACTGTTTCAGCACAACAGTCTCATTTTTAATTTCATGAGGACTTTAAAGTGTGGAAGAATACAAGAGCAATAATCAGTAATAACTCCTATCCAGACTCAGAACACAGCAGAGTGCGGGAGGTCTGTTTTGAATTATTTCACACATTTTAGGGAATCTGAACAACTTCTCACCAGGATCGAGTCCCAGCCACAAGCTTACATTGTAAAGGAGCACAAAATACTTCCTCATTAGTATGTAATGCAAAATAAACTATTTCCCTAAAATGACAGAGAAACACTTTCTTACATACTTACAGATGTATACATCATACAACATATAGTGGTGATGAAGTACTCTTTAGAAAGACAGATAAGGATTTAAATTTGAATTTCAATTCCCTGGGTAGAAGAAGCTGTGAACTGAAGTACCTCTTCAGTGAGTAGTTTAGCTACTGAGATAAATGAGAATAGAAGAAACAGCTACTTTTTAGCCATCTGTTTAAGAGAAGGAAATCTTACATTTACTTTTGTCAAAAGAAAGCCAGAAAGAAGGTTAGAATTTCCCTTTACCTTAAGTCCACAGAAAGACGTGTATTTAAGATATGGCTCTCTGCATATGCTTGCTTTTGGACTCCTACTCCTTATGCTTTCTATAAAAGCTAGGCTGGAAAGGAAAACAGTAACATTCTTTGTTCAGAATTCTTCATTAAAAACATTCGGTTTTCACTAATATGATAAGTAGTTAAGCGTGTTCTGGAAGAAGGCAAATTAAAGTCTCTTAAATCTTAGATAGTTCTCAAAGTAACATCTCCTGTTTATTTCCAATGAAAACTACAACAGAGACCAAAAGCATAACAACACAATTTGGTAGAGCAATTTCTCAGCTACAAAACACTATTTTTCAAAATATTCATCACCATTTGCTAACCATTTTTACCAGCCATGAAGAAGATACACTTTTGTGAAAATCTGTATCAGCAGAGGTGACCCACTGTTTGACAGCTGCTATGCCAGTGCTGTTGCTAGGAAAATGCTGCCTATGCAGTACATTCTTCATCAGCCAAAACAGATGTGAGTCAGAAGGTGCTGAACCTACACTACACTGTAGGTGTGGTAGGACATTCCAGTCAAGACTGGCAACGTGCTCCACAGTAGCATGAAGCTTGGTGTTACCATGTTGGATAAGAACAGTTGTCTTCTCTGTCCTGTCTCTGGAATCTCAAACTTTCACTTTAGTGTCACAACATAGCAGTCAGAGTTGCCACACCACCAACATCCATCTCTGACATTGTGGATTAACAATAATAAAATAGGAGGCACTGTATTGAGAGCAGTCTTCATACTAACAACTGCAAATGAAAGCGCAGTTGTGACGGCTGATTCAGGAGAAAATTCATTTTCCATTGCATAATTTTAGATGTTGCCCTGCACCTGCATAAAACCCAAGTTCCACCAGGGTCACCAGGCATATGGGACTACCCAAGTATAACTATATAGCAGATTTGTTCATGGTATTTTTTGCACAGCAAATTTTAAAGATACTTAAGAATAAGATCTCTTTTCTTCTATCAGTGCAATTTCTTTACATATTGGAAAACAGAATGTTTGCTCAGAACATATTTCACATAAATATGGTAATCATTATTGTCAGAACAAAACTATAAACTAAAGTAATCATATAGCCTTTGAATAAACACAGGGCTTGCTATTTTCTCATATTACTTGGTATAATTGTTGTTCTTTCTTAGCTAGCAACAGAACAGAAGTGCTTATGAAGCTCTACTGCTACCTTACTGAAAAAATGCCTTTGCCCATAGTTTAGTAACAGTGCCAATTTTCCCTGAATAAGTTACAAATATATATACACATATAGAAAGAACTTATCTTTAGGCTAGATTGCCAAAGTGTCCTCCTAAAAATCTAAGAGAATTATCCTTTCCATGCAGCCTTGGAGCTAGAAAATAGGTGTTGGGTTTACAGAGTTAGAGCTGAAGTCACCTGCCACACCTGGAAGGTCAGCATGTTCCTACTGGCTTTAGCCCTTATGACTTGCAGTGCCAAGCTAAATACGAGGGATGAAAGACAAACGTGTCTTATGAGATAGCATCATCTCCAAGTGAGAGGCTTGTGTTGATTTTCTTATTAAGATTTAGACTGGGACCAGCTAGCAACTGTAATAGTTTCTGGAAGGTAAAATTTTTGACCAAATTAAAATCAATGATTTACAAGAGAAAATTCTATATTCCGTAATAGAACAGAAGACATTATTTCTTGGGAAACCCTATCTGTGCATTTATCTTTGGAGTGTCTTTATTTGAATTATGTATTTAGATAAAAGAGGTATTTCAATTTTATGGCATACCTGCAGCATAGTATGTTGAACTCTCAAAAATTAATCATGTACTAAGCACACTTTGTGCCTGGTAAAAGATGACAGGTTTTAATAGTTTAGAATTAAGGGACAAAGATTAGGTTAATATTGATGATTTCTTGGCATCATAACATCTCAACCTATTGAAGAACCACTTCTAATATTCAGTGGAATCTCAGTAACTTGGTTATATATGTGGAGTACCTATAACTTGGTCTCCTAATGGTTAGAAGAATCACAGAAAATCAGAGTGTTTAATAGTACGAGGAAAAGCTATTTACTCAGGAGGAAGAATTCAAAGATATAAATTGTCAGACTGTTACCTCTTTTTTCTTTATGGCTCTCACTGTCTTTATAAACAGATAATCTGAAATGGAAGTTTTACGAAGCAAATAGTGGACTAGTGTAAGTTTACACTTTCTATGATAGTGCCTCAGTTACACTGATTATTAATTGACATATGCCATGCAAGTACTGAAGTCTGTACTGAGCTTTTTTGTTTTTCTTTTTGTTTATTTTCTACAGAAAAGCAGAAACGCACAGGTTTGCTGTGTGGGTTATGGTGTTCACACAGATTATGCAGAAATAATATCAGCAGGATTCATTTCAGAGTTTTAGTAAATGCTACACAGCAGCTACTAGAATACTCAAATTAGACCAGATGTCATAATGCCAAACTCTTATCCCAGCAGAGTACAATATTAAAAAAATGGTTACTTTTGCTTTTAATTTACTACTCTATGGATGAGAGAAGTCCCATCTGCTTACTTTATTTTTAAATGAAAACATAAATGTTGTCCTGTGGTGACATTAGGCTAGATATTATGTAGAGACAGAGACTCCAAGCAGTTAAGATTTACATTTAACAAATATGTTTTCTTACATGCAGCCATCTGCATGATAAAACCAATGAATAAGTTTGTGAAGCTAGCATAAATAGGATTCAAAGTGTGACCTATTTTTATGTCACTGTGGGAATAAAAATTATAGAATTTTAGGAAATCTGGAAACATAATTTTTCCTATGGGAGAAGTCTGGCCACACTGGATAAAGTGAGAAACAGCTGCTGAAAAGATTAGATCTGAAGACAGCAGCAATTCAGCAGGGCTAAAAGCATATAGTTTTTGAAAGATTTCCCAAGTCTTCAGAACCACAAACAAATTCTTAAGTACATTTCTGATTCTGATTCCATGGGAGTTCTGGTTTCACAACCCAGTACTGTGAAAAACATGCTGAACACAACAGAGAAATGAAGAGATGTGCCATTGCTGTATTGAAAGGAAAGGGGAAAATTAGAAGCAAATTCTGCCTGATTGGAGACTTCAGGAATTGAACTGCTCTCTCCTCTACAGAAAGGCAGAGATTGTTTCAGTGTTTTACGTGCCAGTGATACTTGATAAACCTGCCGTGATGAACTGAGGCTTTTTAAAAAGACTAAGGTATTTGGATATTGGCGTTTTCTTCTATTTAGAGTAGCTGCCAGACTCAGCTGAAGATGTTCAATGTAACTCTCTCTTTCCTATGAAATTAAATTAAAATCAGCTCACGCTGAGAGGCAGAACCCATGTTTCAAGGGCTTCTGTTTGCACCCATATACAAACTTTATCATGCATCTATATCAAGAGCCTTATTTCTTACTACTTATTTTTTCTAGAGCTTCCAGTCAAGCTGGCCACAGCTTTCTACATTCCAGTTTCCATTCTCTAGCTTGAGGTACAGGACCTGTAGCAGTTCCCTAAACCCAGGTCTGGTACAACTTCTCCTACCTGTCAGCCCACAGTACTGCTGCCCACTCAGGAAGACTTATCAAAAGAACATTCATCTCCTGCTAAACTGACATTTGGATAGCATAGAAGAAAAGACTATAGCAAAAAAGACTATTAAATTAAGCACAGCATGTGTATCCTATAATATGATAGAAAGTATAGCAATAATAGCACACAGTGCCAAAGTCTTTGGCTCCAGCAAATGAGGACGAGCCCAAACACAGCAGCCATGAGCACAAAAACAAAAGAACAAATCTACTTACTTTTGAAAGCCCTCACAAAGGCAGAAATCTTTAGTGAGATGCCCTCACCTCCACTGCCAACCCTTAAATGAGGTCTGGGAAGGGGTGGATCCTGGCTCCACCCCTTCCATTCACTCAGATGCATTGCATTCACCTGAGCTCCCCTGGGTTGGCCCTGCCTTCCCATCAGGTGCTCAATCACTGCTTCAGGGCATTTCCACTACAGCATGATGGTCCCGTTAAATCCCATGAATTCCGATACATTTCACTCAGGAGTGAGGGAGGAATTTAAGTATAAATCCCCCTTTTGATTTGAGTATCAAATGAATGACTTGAGAAAGGACTGATTGCTGCTATACGTGAAGATATCACGTATTTGGGCTAAAATCTGATATCTGGTACACTGAACTATTTTGCAATATCTTGAATTTAACATGTAAAATAGAAAACAATAGTGAGATCATCAGGTCCCAGTACAAGGAAGCTCGCTATTTATATTCTGCTCTTTGGCCACTGTGGTGAGACTGCAACAAGCCATACAAGAAGACTTGGGAATTCAGGAAAACTTGTGCAATTCCAAAGCATTCAGATGATATCTTACTAAGGAATAATAAAAAAATCCACCTCTGTACTTCTACAGCCTCCCCCCACCTTCTGCAATGTATGAAATAGTTTCAAAGAAGAAGCATAGAAAACAAAACAACAACAACAAAAAGCTAATGAACTTCCTAAGTTCACAGGTTGGACAAGACAAAAATTATTGCCTTTCTTCATATAGGTAAATAAAAGGAATGTGGTGATAGCTTTGCAAGATGAAGATAAATGTCATTTAAAATAGAAAGCCCTTGACAGCTCTTAGGCTTCAGCTCTTGGTGAATGACTTAACTTCCTGATGTGCTTCTGAAACATGGGTTTTACAACAGAAAAGCTTCTTCAAGGTGCCTATTGTAGAGAAAAATAAGATATTTATTTACTTCTACACTAAACTATTTTTAAGTGTTCTGACTCATCAGAATGTGAGAGCACAATTGCCAGTCGCTCTGTTTTCATCAGGCCAGATCTGAATGGAAGCCTTCTCATCTTCAGACAGCTTTTAGTGGATGCTCAGAGATATTCTTACACAAGATTAGGAATCAAGAACTTGCAACATATAATCTATCTGAGACTAGCTCAGACCATCCTCTCAACCTTCTGTTATAGTACAAGTAATAGTGATTCTGCTATTTATCTTCCAGACATATTACAAAAAATTAATTCTTTGATGTTATTTGTAGGATAAAACTGT